AGATTGGTTTGGTTTATTTTGTTTACGGGCATATCAACTCAATGGGTTATTTAATGCTGACAACATTTTTAGGATAGATTCCTATGAATAGAATATGTATTCTTTGGTTTAGTTTGGTTTGGTTTATTTTGTTTTACGGCATATCAACCTCAATGGGTTATTTAATGCCGACAACATTTTTAGGATAGATTCGTATGAATAGAATATGTATTCTTTGGTTTAGATTGGTTTGGTTTATTTTGTTTTACGGCATATCAACCTCAATGGGTTATTTAATGCCGACAACATTTTTAGGATAGATTCGTATGAATAGAATATGTATTCTTTGGTTTAGATTGGTTTGGTTTATTTTTTTTACGGCATATCAACCATAATGGGTTATTTAATGCCGACAACATTTTTAGGATAGATTCGTATGAATAGAATATGTATTCTTTGGTTTAGATTGGTTTGGTTTATTTTGTTTTACGGCATATCAACCTCAATGGGTTATTTAATGCCGACAACATTTTTAGGATAGATTCGTATGAATAGAATATGTATTCTTTGGTTTAGATTGTTTTTTTTATTTTGTTTTACGGCATATCAACCTCAATGGGTTATTTAATGCCGACAACATTTTTAGGATAGATTCGTATGAATAGAATATGTATTCTTTGGTTTAGATTGGTTTGGTTTATTTTGTTTTTACGGCATATCAACCTCAATGGGTTATTTAATGCCGACAAGATTTTTAGGATAAATTCGTATGAATAGAATATGTATTCTTTTGGTTTAGATTGGTTTGGTTTATTTTGTTTTACGGCATATCAACCTCAATGGGTTATTTAATGCCGACAACATTTTTAGGATAGATTCGTATGAATAGAATATGTATTCTTTGGTTTTTGGTTTGTTTTATTTTGTTTTACGGCATATCAACCTCAATGGGTTATTTAATGCCGACAATTTTTAGGATAGATTCGTATGAATAGAATATGTATTCTTTGGTTTAGATTGGTTTGGTTTATTTTGTTTTACGGCATATCAACCTCAATGGGTTATTTAATGCTGACAACATTTTTAGGATAGATTCGTATGAATAGAATATGTATTCTTTGGTTTAGATTGGTTTGGTTTATTTTTGTTTTACGGCATATCAACCTCAATGGGTTATTTAATGCCGACAACATTTTTAGGATAGATTCGTATGAATAGAATATGTATTCTTTGGTTTAGATTGGTTTGGTTTATTTTGTTTTACGGCATATCAACCTCAATGGGTTATTTAATGCCGACCACATTTTTAGGATAGATTCGTATGACTAGAATATGTATTCTTTGGTTTAGATTGGTTTGATTTATTTTTTTTTTACGGCATATCAACCTCAATGGGTTATTTAATGCTGACAACATTTTTAGGATAGATTCGTATGAATAGAATATGTATTCTTTGGTTTAGATTGGTTGGTTTATTTTTTTTTTTACGGCATATCAACCTCAATGGGTTATTTAATGCCGACAACATTTTTAGGATATTTCGAATTATGAATAGAATATGTATTCTTTGGTTTAGATTGGTTTGGTTTATTTTGTTTTACGGCATATCAACCTCAATGGGTTATTTAATGCCGACAACATTTTTAGGATAGATTCGTATGAATAGAATATGTATTCTTTGGTTTAGATTTTGGTTTTGGTTTTTATTTTGTTTTACGGCATATCAACCTCAATGGGTTATTTAATGCCGACAACATTTTTAGGATAGATTCGTATGAATAGAATATGTATTCTTTGGTTTAGATTGGTTTGGTTTATTTTGTTTTACGGCATATCAACCTCAATGGGTTATTTAATGCCGACAACATTTTTAGGATAGATTCGTATGAATAGAATATGTATTCTTTGGTTTTAGATTGGTTTGGTTTATTTTGTTTTACGGCATATCAACCTCAATGGGTTATTTAATGCCGACAACATTTTTAGGATAGATTCGTATGAATAGAATATGTATTCTTTGGTTTAGATTGGTTTGGTTTATTTTGTTTTACGGCATATCAACCTCAATGGGTTATTTAATGCTGACAACATTTTTTAGGATAGATTCGTATGAATAGAATATGTATTCTTTGGTTTAGATTGGTTTGGTTTATTTTGTTTTACGGCATATCAACCTCAATGGGTTATTTAATGCCGACAACATTTTTAGGATAGATTCGTATGAATAGAATATGTATTCTTTGGTTTAGATTGGTTTGGTTTATTTTGTTTTACGGCATATCAACCTCAATGGGTTATTTAATGCCGACAACATTTTTAGGATAGATTCGTATGAATAGAATATGTATTCTTTGGTTTAGATTGGTTTGGTTTATTTTGTTTTACGGCATATCAACCTCAATGGGTTATTTAATGCTGACAACATTTTTAGGATAGATTCGTATGAATAGAATATGTATTCTTTGGTTTAGATTGGTTTGGTTTATTTTGTTTTACGGCATATCAACCTCAATGGGTTATTTAATGCCGACAACATTTTTAGGATAGATTCGTATGAATAGAATATGTATTCTTTGGTTTAGATTGGTTTGGTTTATTTTGTTTTACGGCATATCAACCTCAATGGGTTATTTAATGCCGACAAGATTTTTAGGATAGATTCGTATGAATAGAATATGTATTCTTTGGTTTAGATTGGTTTGGTTTATTTTGTTTTACGGCATATCAACCTCAATGGGTTATTTAATGCTGACAAGATTTTTAGGATAAATTCGTATGAATAGAATATGTATCATTTGGTTTAGATTGGTTTGATTTATTTTGTTTACGGCATATCAACCTCAATGGGTTATTTAATGCTGACAAGATTTTTAGGATAAATTCGTATGAATAGAATATGTATCATTTGGTTTAGATTTGATTTATTTTGTTTACGGCATATCAACCTCAATGGGTTATTTAATGCTGACAAGATTTTTAGGATAAATTCGTATGAATAGAATATGTATCATTTGGTTTAGATTGGTTTGATTTATTTTGTTTTACGAATATATCAACCTCAATGTTTATTTATTTAATGCCGACAAATTTTTAGGATAAATTTATGAATAGAATATGTATTCTTTTGGCAATTGGTTTGGTTTATTTTTTTTACGGCATATCAACTTCAATGGATTATTTAATACCGGCAACATTTTTTATTGCTGGTTATATTTTGTTTTGTCAAAAATGTTTCTGGTAATATTTTTCCTTTAAATTTATATTGCTGGTAATGTTTTTTCAAAAAGTATTGCTGGTAATAGTTAACTATTTGCGCATAGCTGAGATCCTAACAGATGCTATGGCCAGGGTGGACCTGGGAACACCAGCAATGAAGAGGTGGTTCCATGCTCCTCAAAACCTCCTGATCAGTTGTCTTACTGCTGGACTTAGTTTATCGTCTTACCCAGGACACGGATATAGTTTAACGTCTTACCGAGGACGACTTAAATCTTTATACGAAAAAAATTTAATGTTATGTCTCGCCATGAAGACCTCCAAACTCGCTGAATGCCATTAGCTTTAAACGTTAGGTTTATGTTTTAAATAACCCGATTGATTGATTTGCTTTTGAAGGTTTGTCATTGTTGGTTACTTACAGCCGAAGTATATTTTAGATTGTAAGAACATTTTTTCCTAGTGAATGATGCAAGTTTTAGAATAACAATAAGTTTTATAGATAATTGTCTTATTATTTAACCCACAACTCGCGGGATGGGATGGAGTCCTACCTTTCTCAAGACTATTTGCGCGTAAGTGAATGCATCGAAACCTAAATAGAACTCGAAATCGGCTCTCTGATTATCTTAACCGGGCCATTATCCATTGCACCACTTAAATGAATCAAATAGTCAACTTATTCAATAAAGCTCAAAAGTTAAACAGGCATGTTTATGTTTCACTGTCAGTAGCGTTTGACTTTTGTTGTAGATGCATTCACGCTATACACTTAGTTGAATTCGTTTAACCAAATGCCACCGTTTTTTCTAGTGAAATGAAATTAATAATCTGTTATGAATAATCAAGAGTGGTCTCCCCTTGGTTTGTTACTCTCCTCTTTGAAAGAGCTATTTCTGTTTACTGGGACTATTAACAGACACTATACGCAAATCTTTTATCCTCAGTTGAATGAAGTTTTCTTAAAGCCTACATCTGCGTACTTTTGTCATTACATAATCGTTGATGTCAATTTATCTGACTGGACTCGTGGCTTTTACTCTTAATTTTGCACTATTTTGGCCAAATTGATTTATCTTGACTTCATTCTTTTCGTTTACTTTACTAGCCTCTATTTTCATCTAAGAAATAACATTTTTCTTCAATTCAGAAATGCGTACTTTCCTATGCGAAGCCGTTACTGAATAATATGGCTGACAAATATGAATTTGGTAAGGCTTTGATTTGATATTGCGCATCTATTTATTATTACAACCTAAAAAATAATCAAACAATCATTTTTAAAATAAACTTATCACATAGACGGTAATAAGCATTTTTCGTAGGATGCGTAAATTTTGGACGGAAATATATTGAAATTTTTCCAATGCTGTAGAATGTAGTCATAAATAATAGATTATAATATTGATTTTGACTGCGTAATATTCGTAACAAATTCTAAAATACTGCTTTGTTTGAGTCAAAATAAAATTAAATAAACGTCGTCGGGGGCACTCATTTATGTGATATACAGAATATGAACCTGTTCCAAGTATTGGTCGGCAGAAATACCTCCGACATATACCTCACAGAAATACCTTTCACATATCTCTCTTACCTATACCTCCCACATATACCTTCCATAATAACCTTCTCCCGGAAATGTCTCCCAGATATACCTCCCAAAAATATTTCTTACATATGCATCCCACATATACCCCTCAGAAATACTTCCAACATATACCCCTCAGAAATACCTCCAACATATACCTCCCAGAAATACCTCCTATTATCTTATAATTATGTGAGAGATATTTCTGGAAGGTATGTCTGACGTACTTCCCCGTTTTTTTTTCATTTTGTTTACCTTCGTCCTTTTTGCTTTCTTTTCTTCCGACTTGTTCTTTTTCATTAAATGTGAGTGATATAAGCTATCGATCTGTTTTCGATATTCATCTTCTTTCGTCTTGTCTCTTTTTCCTTCGTGCTATCCTTTTCTTTTTAACCCTCATTCATTGTTTATTAAAAGTTTATATTTATTTTCAAACCTTTTTTTAGTTTTTCATTCTATATTTCCATTTTTTCCACACTTTCCTTGTTTCATAAAATTTACCTTTCGTTTTTACACTTTTTTTTTATTTTTCGATTTATATCGTTCCTTCTTTATTTACTGCTTACACCTATCATTATTTTTATTTCCTCTTTTTCTTTCTTTTATCTCCTTTTTCTTATCATTTGTTCTTTTTTTTTTACTTGTTCTTTTCTTCTCTCGTTCTACCTTTTTCTTTTTCTCACCACGTTTCTTGAAATATATTCTTCTTTTTGTTTTTCTCTCTCTTTTCTTTCATCTCTTTTGCTATCGCTTAAATTTCTTTTATTACTTTTTCTCTCTCTTTTCTCATTCTACCATTGCTTCTTTCTCACCCTTCCTCGATTCTTACAGTTAAATCCTTCCCTTTATAATTTTATTTCTTCTTTCCTCCGATACTTTTCTTTTTTTCTTTCTTTCATCCATTCCTCGTGTTTATTACATTTTCTATTTCTTCTCACTCTTTCATTCTTTTGTTGTTGTTTTTTTTTTAGGAGGTGGGTATTACTTTTGTTCTTTTCTTCCTCTTCTTCCATTTCTGACTTGTCGATTTAATTCTTCATCACCTCACCCATTTTTCTCTCTTTCTTCTACTTATTCATTCCATTCATTTCTTTTTTTTATGCTTTCTTCTCTTACTTCTCATACAACTCTTTTTCGTTTTCTTCTATTTTCCTTTCTTCCTTTTCATCGTCTTTTTTCAACTGTCTTTTAACAAATATCGTTAATAATATCTTACATAACTTATATCTTTTTTAATAATATATCATAAAACTTACCCTTTGCATTAGATGCATCTGGGGAAACAAGCATCTTCGTTACCATACCTAATTTTTGGACATGAGAGTAATGTTAAACCCTGCCACAATGAATTGCGAACTTTGTATTTTTTTTTCTTTCGATAGATTTTGTTGATGACCTTTCGAACGCTGAGTCATGTCTCCATGAAAGATTGTTCCATTCATATCTGTCTGTGGAATCTACGCATTTGCTTTTATTTTCAATTGTCTTATCCTTGGCTAGTGTTTCTTTCTTTTGACTAGCCGGCATTAAGGGTATGGATATGTTCAATAAAATTTCCCTGAGTTTACTCATTTGCTTTTGTAAAAGTTCACGTTTATATATACGAATGCCTGCGTACAACCTTTCATAATATTCATCTGCTTGCTAAAAGGAAGTCGTAACCTTTACGCATGCGTATGTCTGCATGTAGTTTTGTCATTCATTATTTCGCGTTCATGTGCTCTTGATATTCAAGCGCCAATCACAGCAAAGACACACCTGGGATTTGCTAGCAATGGTGTATGTTTGTGTGTTAAACTATCCGTATGCATCCGTCAGCATTATCTGCTTTCTATTTATTTCTAATCAAATTCCTCTCTGGACGGCAAAATGTGGAGCCCTGGACATCGGTCATCATGCCAAATGCACAGCACAGCTGACTAACTCATTAGTAAGCAAAGAGAAGTCAATGCCCATTACGTGCATGACGCTGCCGGCTACGAGTGAACTTCAAACGATCCTAAACTCACTTCGACACTGCTAACAACTTTCAGGAATTGGGTGTGTACGACGCATCCTGGGATGGCGAGTTACAGAGATTCGGTAGGCAGAACAAACCGACTGTGATGTCCAATGGTCAAATTGAGAAGATTACTGATAGAATTTAATGTCATAACAGGATTTTTCCGCTTCAGTTGATATAATGTCCGGCAGCAATACCGAAGCTAAAAGCTCCATTTCAGCTTTCCTTAACAAATTTACAGGTGCATTAGAAAACGGTATGGGGCTAATGTGGCTGTTCACATTGAAAGCGAAAACAGTGATTAGATGCTCGTTCTATTAAGGATATCTCCTTTTTTTTAAAACTGTTTGCCCTTGTGTGACAATTTTGTCGTTCCGATTTACTCAGTATTTTTTTCTCTTTCTAAATTTACGTGTGTTTCGAATATAAAGAGATGTGTGTTCAGTTTTGCACATTCGATTCCTGTTAAGTGTCTCTTTGTTAGAATAACATAACTAATAATTTATAACGCTGCCATAATATGGCCTGCGAACTTAATAAATGTGTCCTCTGGCAGGATTCGAAATTATGCACGGAAGGAATCGTCGTCTGATTCGTGCGTTTACCGCTCGGCTACGAAGAGAGTCTGTAGACGAAATCAATACAGTTTAAAATAAACGGATCATCTAGTCAAATACATGTATCCCCAAAAAAATATTTGAAGTAATAAAAATATGTGGGATTAAAAAATAAAATAAAATCCATTAATTCTTTAGAAATTGCTTTGTTTACGTTTCTGATAGGAAACTGAGCAGATAGGTATTTCGGAAAATCTGAACGAGTTAGTGTGAATTAAAGGCAAAATAGAAACTTGTTTTATTGTGACGTCCTTCGTAGCCGAGCGATTTAACGGAATAGACGGCCTTTCGTCCTGTAAACGGAGACACGGGTTCGAATCCTGCTGGAGGGCACATTCCCTTCATTAAGTTTTCTCGAATCCGCAGGTCGTTGCATGAAATAAATACTGTTTAAAATAAACAGAGCGTCTACTGAAATGCGGGCATCCACTAAAATAACGTTTAAAGTAAAAGATAAAAAAAATAATACCTAACAATTCTATGGAACACACACATATATAGTGATTTTCCAAGCGTAGCTCAGCTGTGGCACAAAGTCGAAAGTATGGGGCACCCAGTGGGAATCGAACTCACTACTCGTCGAAATTGTCGAAGAAGTCGAAGAATAAATATTAAGACATAACGTAAATAGCACAGTAAATTATGTTTTTTTTTTCGATTCACTAAGTGACCCATCAGAAAAGCGACTTATAATTCCAGTCGGGCTTGCTTCATTCACCTACTCACAAATACCGTGGGAAAAGGTATGATTCTCCTCTTCCAGTGGTGGTATAAATAGTAGGATTTGTGTCTGGAAAATATCATTTCTGTTCTCAAAAGATTGTTAGTACAATATTCCCTTGTAAAGAAAAACAGTTACTTTTGCAATCCAAAATATATTTTGCTTTTAAATACTCTTCAATGACTTCATAAGCCGTGAAAACAAATCAGTCAATCATTCAAATAAACACTATTTTTAGGCTATCTATTTCCATAACGTTTATCATACCAGAAATGGTACAAATGCCAAAACAAAGCTAGTAACATTTCATCACGATCGAACCCTCAATAATACTGATGCTTATTTCATTGGATCGCTACTGGATCTTAAAACTCAAGCTCGACCAAAAATGGAACTTGTATATTCGTTCCAATGCTGTTGAAAGGATGGTTGATTCCGTGAATCCCTCCATATACCCAAATCCTGCTACCATCCTGTATCAATACAACAGTGCAATCAGACCAAGAATGTAGTATTGCAGTCATATCTAGGTTGATGCCGGAGTTTAAATGCGATTACGTGGCCCTTTGGTTGATTAATTATTATCTACTATGCAACTCTTGTCTCACAGATGTATCGTTGCTAGACTCTCGCTAATCTAACACTGGTAGATATAACAGTAGATAGATTTGCCAATTGTCCGGTTTACACTCCTCACCGGTCATTCGAAATGAAGTAGAGGTTTATCCCTTGTTTCATTTTTAGAATTGGGATTCTGGCATCTTTAAAATTCTTTTCCTTCTCTTTCACTTTCAGTAATCCATTGCGTCTGTTTTGTTTTTTGGTTTTTTTTGGTTTTTTGTTTTTTTTTACTCTGGCGAATTAGGATATTCCTTAGTTCTACAAACTCAGAAATTCATACCTAGGACCCTCCACCATGTCATATTCACGGTGGCAAATCATCCTCATTTCCCTTCATCTTCTTTTGATAAGGTGTAAGTTCTACTCACAGTTTCTTTCTAAAGAACAGTTATTTTGTGGAAGAAATTCCCCAGTGGATGATTCTAACATCTTGATATATTCAAGTCTTTTGAGTGAACCAATAGCTATCCTGCACTTCCTCACAGTAAACACACTTTACTCCCTTTTCATGATGGATATACTCGGCTTATTATACTTCTACCCTAACCTCACCTTGTTGTTGGGTTGTTCTCTCAGCCAATAACAATAATAATGTAGACTTGAAGTGCAAAACGGTTTTATCAAAGTAGATGTTCGTTACTTTTAGGTAGGTACGTGTGCGTGTGTTTGCATAATAAACAACCAAGGATGAACATTACTTTTCTGGTGCATCTCAAGTTAAGAGATCGAAATATATAAGGACCTTGTATAATACAAGAAACAGTTTTACCATGTTGGTTTGGGCCAAGAATACGCTGACTTAACCACCTAAAAGATACTCGATGGCCTCTCAATTTGAGACCAACTTTTTACGGAACTTCGTTCAAAGAAATCTATGTTAAGCTTTTGAGTCTTATGCGAACCAAACCCATGCTTATCTTTATCAAAATGGTAAACATAGGTTTGCTTTGCAACTCGTTAAAACAAAAACAATCTATGTCTAACTTTCTTTTTCTTGAGTAAACTAAATCTATATTAATCTTTTCGATTTTCGGCAAATGGAAATATATATTTACTTTTTTTGACTTTCAGTCTAGCCAAACCTAGTTCTGCCTTTATGGCAGGCGTTCAAATCAAAATGTTAATATGCCACAAAATTAACCATTCAAAAAAAAAATACTAGACGTACAAGACCATGAGTATTTCATATAAACACTAAAGAACTGGTAACTATCCCATATATTCCTACAAAGAAGGGAACCTTGGTGTGGTGTAATGGTTAGTAAGCTTGTCTCGCTAAAACAGTTACAATTGGAGAGTGAGTTCGATCCTCGCTGGGTGCCCCATATTTTCGGCCTTGTGCCATATCTTAGCTACGTTTAGAAAATCAGCATATTCCTACAAAGAACGGTTTACGAGCATTTCGCGTTAAACCACCGGTTCTTGTAGGTTTACTGTAGTTAAGCAAATTCATCACGTTCAATCTTAAAAAAATAAGTAAATATATAGATGCTATATACATCATCTATTTTTATGTTACGTTAATTTTAACGCCTCCATAACTGAACTGCTCTCAATTAATGATCTGAAAGACTCATTTTTGCCTTCCATCAGCATGGCTGATGATAACTTTCAGGAGAGCGAATCGTTGCGTCTTTTTGGGGTAACGTTCTTGGCTGATATTAAGTGGAAAGAACATGTTCAATTCATTGCTAGGTCACCTGCTAAGAAAATACGTTCACTATCGTGCTAGAAAGTTTTCTCCCCGGAATCTATCTTGCATATTTACAAGTCTCTAATTCGACCACGTTTAGAATATTACTGCCACATATGGTCCGGTGTTCCTATATCTATAGATCCTTGATAAAATGCAAAGAAGAATTAGCAATATTATTGGTCCTGGTCTGGCGTCTTTCGCTTCATTCACTTTTTTCACCGCCATAAAGTTGCCTCCTTTACCTTTTCTATAAATACTTTCATGTTAACCGTTCTGATAAGCTCTTCGCCATTATTTTGCTTAGTTTCTGGTAAATATTTTTTATTCTTTTCATATTGTATATACACATTGGGGTTAGTTTTTGAATTGTTGCTTTATTTCCCTCACACATAGACAATGAATTGTACCTATGGGGACTAGAGAGGACTTTCATAGAGAACATGATGTATTATGGTGTGTGTAATAAGTAAGAATGCGTTGTTTTGGCGCAAGGAATATTGTTATATTTTTGGTTCAATGTTTGTGT